ATGTACTCTGAGTTCATGGTTAGTGTTTCACTTCTGTTGTGGTTGACTTTTGCACTATGAAGACAAATAAGACAGCTGCTAATAGTAGTCTTTTGAGTGATTTTCAGCGTATTTTGCCTTTAAATTCTCTCATGTTTTCCCAAATTCAAAACAGTTAACATATGAGTTCGGTGTGTAGATCTACAAAGAGATTGTGTGGTGCAGCTATGGGAAGTACAGATCAGCAACTTACATTGTAAAATGTTCCAACATCGCTCACAGCCCAAAATTTGACATTGAATCAGATGAGATTAAGGCAAATGGCCAGTTCAAAGTCACACCTCAAAGGAGGAAAGAGGTAAAGAGATGGACACAAGGAAATCCAGAACTAAGAGCTTCAGTAACTAAAGACACTGTGAAATGATTAAAATTGATTCTTTTTTCTTTCATTCATTCACAGAATTTGGGAATTTTACAGGCTAGGCCAGAATCTAGAACTAGAGGGAGTATGCTGAGAATTTGGGCCAGACTGTACAGGAGAGATGTCAGGGAACAATTCTACACACACAGGGTGGCAGAGGTTTAGAATTCTCTTCCACAAATTGTAGTGGATGCAGGATGAGTTGTTAATTTTAATTCTGAGATGTTAATCAAAGGTTTTAAGGGATATGGGCCAAAGGCGGGTAAATAGAGTTAGGCCTCAGATCAGCTATGATCACATTTAATTGTCGAACAGGTTTGAGGGGCTGAGTGGCCTACTTCTGTTCCTATGTTCCTGTATTTAATCATCCCTAACTACCTTAGAGACAGTGTTAAATTATTTTCTTGACAACCACTGCAGTCCTTGGAGTGTTGATGGGAATGATTTTCGGGCCGATGAAGAGCAGCCATATTGGAGGAAGAACTATGCAATAAGAAATATTGATTGTTTGTGAAAAAGGGATGGCAATAATTATTATTGATTTTGATCTACATTTAAACTGGAAAAATTAAGTGGGTGATCAGGAGTTCCCAGAAAGCTTCCGAGATGATTCCAGAAGGTGCTGCTCTCAAAATCAAACAAAAGAACAATCAGGACTCGAATAAGATATTGTGTAATGTGACAGGATTAATTATTGGCTTCTGAATTAAGGCACCTCTAGGTAGCAGTAATCTTAATATTTGATTTTGATTTGAATATCTGATTGAACTGTATAGCCAGTTTGAAAGGGAGATGATTGGGTCTAAGACTAGTATTTTAAAACTAAAAAAGGATACCTACCTAGGAATGAAAACTGAGATATATCCGTTTCAACTTCCCTACCACAGCGTTGACCCCTGATAACCGTCTTTGACCCCAGAACCTGTTGGATGCCAATGCCCATGATTGGGGTCTGGTGGGGGTTGGTTATGCAGTCACTGCTCATGGAGTGTGCCCTGAGATGTTAGTGCCTAGTGTTCAGATGGAGGGCCAGAGGAGCAAACAGTGATCTGGAGTCGCTCTGAGTTTCATGTTGGGAATTGATGCCATCTAATTTCTATCTGCCATGTGAAAAATGGGAAGCTTATCATCAAATGAGGCAAGATTAACTAATAAAGACATGTTGATGCATGCAATTGAGACTTTTGCCACTCATGAGTGAGAATCTCATCTCACCATTCAATACAGGGTTCCTCCCTGGCTGATGTAATGGGATTTTCCCAAATTTCTCGCCAATGCCCAGGTTACTCCGTGCCTGGGAAGATTGTGTTCACTCGGTTCAGCAGTACCGATATTTAATTCAAGGCAGTTTCAGCTTGTCCTGTGCTGGATGGCAGATAAGCTATTACATAGTTTAGCAGAGGAGTTGAAAACAAATGGCTCAGCTATAGAGTTGGATGCCATCAACATAAAGGTGAAACCTGTGGGCAGAATCTTCCCAGCCCCAGAATGATGTGGACAATGATGAGTCTTTGGGAAATTCTGGTGAGATCAGAAACAGAGACTCTTGACACTATGTTGCATTTTCTACCCATGGTTTAACTGGCAAGGTAAAAATCTCACTCGTGAGTGGCGAGCGGCCTATCTGCATGCAATAACATCTCATTATTACCTAATCTTGCCTCATTTATCTTCAGTTTGCTATATTCTCTGGCAGTGAAGAGAAACAAGACAGCAACAATTCGACACATGGGCAGTGAGCGCCTGCATCCTTTGCCCACAGAAACTGGCATCAGACAAGCACCAGCTTCACCACATCATCATGGCACACCTCTGGCTCACTTAGAACACAGTTCAGCGCTTCAATGTTGTGCTTTGGATCTTATCGATGCCTTACTTTGCAATGCTGCCTGCCAGGCCAGGGACATCGGAACAGGGTCCCTCACAGGGTTGGAACTTGCTCACTTGCTTTGTGCTTGCTGGGATGCTCACCGTATCTCCACCGTATCTCCACCGTGCCTCAACTTTTACCGTAGGCAAAAAAGCAAGGTAGCTTGCCATGTTTAGCAGTGATGAACAGCCAATGGAGATGATAGTCAATGAGGGGGAGTGGTCAGTCAAGCGAGATGGTGAGATGTCCTAAGTGAGTGAGTGAGTGAATGAGTGAGCAGAGCAGGCAGAAGTAGTAGCTTGGGGTTGGAGTGAGCGAGTCTTTGAGGGACAGTGCTGCATGCACCACGGAGAGTGATAGAACATGAGGCTTGCTGGGAGGTGGTGCAATGACAGAGTAAGAGCAATGTGAGGCAGCAGAGAGAAGATAGCGGCACTTTTCTTTACGGAATGTAGGAGGTCATTAACTTTCATGTTCCTCTGGAGCTTGGACACTGTACTGACCAACGCAGCACCTTCAGAGCAGGCTGGCCATGTTGACCAAGCATGCAGCTGGGGTTTCAGCGTGGTACCTGTAGCGTGAACGCCAGAATGTTCTGGTGCCGGTGAACATTTCACCGCCTGCTGTGTGCAAGGGTAGCACCTTAGTGAGGCGAACAACATCAGATTGTGGGAGAAAAGTCAGTCAAACACACAGAGGTAAACTCTTCCTGAAATTGACACCTAGCTGATTTTGGGAAATTTCAGGCCTGTGTGGTTTTTCGCTGGTGTCACTCAGGGGCAATAGTGAGAAATGGAATGGGGGCAGAGGTGGGGGCAAGCACAGCTCCATGTAAAACTCTGAAGGAAATAGTTTGGGAGCAGGAAGAGAAGCCATTGTGGATAATTGTCTGGGTGGAGTTACATGGATAAGGAGTTGAATCCGTCTTGACAGAAGTGAATGATGGTGTGGTCAACTCTGACAAAGACTGCAGGCAGGTCAAAGGTGAGGAGAGCTAGTTTAGCTTATTGCAGACATGTAGGATGTAATCTGTGATTTTGGTAAGAGCCATTAAGGTCCTGTGGGAGAACAGAATGCTGTTTGAAGCGTTTCAAAACAGGAGCTTGACCGTACGATTTTCTACCCACACTGCGTTCAGAGATAGGACTTGGCCTTTTGAGTCAGGAGTGCGATGTTAAGATCAAGTTGGTGTCATGACCCTGCAGTTGGCAGTCACTTTCCCTGATTTGGCCAATTAATGGCCAGAGGGCAGACTTACTATCCAATTATGCACGCAGGGGACACTCTCTGGGTGTCTGTGACTTGTAAGAAGTTTTAAACTAAAACCTGGTGGTGGCAGCAGGGTCACTCTGTGGAAACAGCCATGCTGCAGGTGTGGTATGCTTCACCCTGTCCATTTACCAGTGATCCATGCGACATTATCCATTATAACATGTTTTAGTGGCAGTAAAACAAGAGTCTAGGCTTCAGTCCTTTGTAACACGTTACTAAAACATTTCATTCTGCTGCCTCTTTACATTGGCTGGCTGTCACATAGTGGGATGTGCATAAACTCAGGAGGAGAAAAGGATTATCTTGATGGTGGGAATGTAAGATGAAATGATAAAATCATCACAGTTCTACTTGGCTGGTGAGAGATAGACCAGTGAATGGCACATTTATGATATCAAGTGTTTATCGTTACAATGTTGGACAAAAGAGGTATAAACTAAGCTCTTATCCAAACATGTTTCAGACTGTGAAAAACCTTCTTATTCATAAAACTCATTTTTAAAAAACCTCTCAAGTGGTCGAACTACTGTAAAAACAAAACTCTATTTTGCTAACCACATTAAAGAGAGATAATCCTTTAATATCCTCTTAAAATTGTCAATCAAAGTGTCTACACAACTACCCCTGAGATAAATATGTTTGGAGCTTTGGAAATTTTGCCTCACATTCATTATGGACTTGGACACAGCAACAAACCCTGGAAATGTAAACTGTGGTGTCTATTAAAATGGAAAAGCCATATTGTCTTGCAGATCAAATGAGAGATGCTAGAGGGAATTTTTAATTTCAAAGAGCATTTAAATCTTTTCAGATGGTTACACTGGAGGTGCCAAGCAGTATTTTTTTCCATTTTGAATGTGCAGGTACATTTTTCCTGTTATGATAGAAAAGACTGTTTGTGACCTATAGTCTAGCAACAGTAGATTCAGTTAGCAGAACGGAGCCCGATAATTAATCACTGCAATGAGAACCCATCTAATTTGAATGACAGTGTCTAACTATTGAAACTGGAAGAACAAATACCTTTTTCTTTTCCATTTCAAAGCCTGTCAAAGAATAAATCCCAGGAGCAGATGGCTGTTGTTTTTGTGGTTGCTCATTGGGACTAGGATTCCCTCCCGGTTTACGACCCCACTGAGAGGCCGTGAATGATGACTACTTAATGAAGGGGCTTGACGCCACTAAAATTTCAAGGAAGCACTCTGTAATGCAGGCAGCAAGGGTGGGAGTATCACAGAAAGGCAGATTACCCACATCCTTATCCCATGATGGAGGTTGGAGCGTGGGCAGGAATCCTGGAATTGGGCTGTTTTTGTGGGGTTCCCAAGTTGTCTGGACTTGGCCCAAAACTGGATCATGGTTACAGTTTCAGAGGCTGGATACCATCCATTATATCGATGCTTAGTGTGAATCACCATTGCAGGGGCCTGGCCAGTGATTTTGACTCTCCTGTTTCAGGCCTCCCTCATCCCTTTGCCATCACGGTGTTTGAAGACAGTCTATATTGGACAGACTGGCACACCAAAAGCATAAACAGTGCCAACAAGTTTACCGGGAAAAACCAGGAGATTATCCGCAATAAACTACATTTCCCAATGGATATCCATACACTCCATCCACAGAGACAGCCAGCAGGTAAGTACATGCTGTGTGAATGTGGACTGTTCTAATCTAATCTGCTTTAATCAATCAACCGGCAATTTAAAAACAAGCAGAATTTGATTCACGGAGCTGATTTCATTTGTTTCTTCTGGGGGGAATAAAATGTCGTACGACCCGGCTAGATTGATTGGAGAAAAATCACTTAAATCCCAGGGGTGGCTCCTATTTGATGAACACTGTAGTCCAGGAACGGAGACCAAAATATCATTGATAACATTTTCATTTTTTCAAATTAGTTTGATATTTTTTTGGAATCATATATGCAGGATTATATTGAAACAGAACGAGAATCTATGAGCTCACATTAAATTTGAACATATTGATTGCTGGGTTCATTTTTTTAAAAAAATGTGGTTTGTAATTTTCATTAAATTGTTTCACTTCTTGTGATTATAGAAAATGATATAAGAATTGGACTATGCAAGATTGCTTGTGCTGCATTTCATTTATTAGTGTGTTATTTTCATTGACTAATTGTCTGTTTCATTTGAGCTTTAAGGTCTATTGAAATCTAATTTTTTCTAAAATAGCAATCTTCTCCAGAGCAGCCATGCTGTAAATGAAGTTTTCCAAAGCAAATTTTAGGTTGAACTATAAAGGGCTGGTAAACATACCCAAGTTGGTGAAACAGATTCTCTGGTGTAATATAATTGTTTGTTAGCCCTGAGCCATATGGTCTCATTGCCTGAGCTCATGCTGATCTTTTGCTGCATCTCTGGTTAAGGGACAGGAGCTGTGTTTGTGGTGCCTCATTAGTTATCTGTTGGTATGGTGAGCAGTCATCAACTGCAGTAACCCACTTGCTTGGAAGACTTTTGTGATCATTTGTTGTTTTCAGTGAACTGTTGGGTTCCAAACTTGGCAGTTTCAGATTTTGATGATTGAGGTTTGTATGTGTCTTTATCAGTGGCAAAGAAAAGTGCAGATCAAGTGGTTATGGTGGGGGGGACGGGAATCTCTATTGCTGGAAGATTGCCACTGCCCCTGTTTTGAATGGTGTGTAAGTGTTGGGAGTGTCAGGGCTATTGTAATTATCTTTTTAACTGTTTGGGGTGAAGGTCTTGGCAGATTGGTGCTTATGAATCAGGAGGTGTTCATGTACCAACAGAAGTTTAACTTAAATCACCTCTACAATTACAACCTGCAATTCTGCACTAGAATAATGGCCTATGTTGTAGGTGTACTGAAGGCCAAAAAAATTACTGGTTTCAATTCCTCTTATTTCAAGTTTGTTTAATTTTAATGATCAAATAGTATATCTATCTTTCCTAGCAGTAATTTCCTTTGATCATTTTTAGTACAAAACAAAACAACCTTCTGAAATATTGGAAATAGACCTGATTGAAACTAACAATCGACCAGAGTCACTATGATTGTAAATGTTAAATGATTTCACGAATGCTAGCATTACCCTATGTTGATGATATTTATAGTGTGTGTTGTGCTTTCTGCTATTTGAGCAGGGAGAAATCACTGTGGGACCAACAATGGAGGGTGTAGCCACCTTTGCCTGCCCAGCAGTGCCAATTACACCTGTGCCTGCCCGACTGGCTTCAAGAAAGTCGATGACTACAATTGTGCTGGAAGTAAGTAAAATTTAGCAGGATTGTTTGATGGAGATCGCACTATTGAGACCATTTGGCAACACACCGTGAAGAAATCTATTGATTTTTCAATCTGTATAAAATATTCACACATGACAAGAGAGCTGAATTATGAAAATAGAAAAGTGAACTTCAGTCTGTGTGAAAACATAGAGCACTTTGTGCAGTTTTGGGTTCCACCTGCTTCGGAAGATATTGAGGCAACTGAGAGAGTGCAGTGCAGGTTAATGGGGATGCTGTCTAATATATGGAAGTACAAATACAAAGGAAGATGCAAACATTTCAGACTGTTTTTAGAATAGAGGATATGAGGATGTGATTTGATAGAGGTGTTTAAAATAGGACAAAGTAGATAGAAATGAACTCTTTCTGGTGAAGAGGGTGGACAGAACAAGATGACATAGACTACAAGCACTAAATATAAGAGATTCAGAGAATTAGGTAAGCTTCTTTTGACCTAAAAGTGTTATAAGGTTGCTGAATGGTGTACCCAAGTTTGACCAAAGCAATCAACATTTAAGAGTGAGTAGGTAGGTGAATGAAGGAAAGGTGAAAAAAGAGATACTAGCCAATTTCTCCCCCAGCAATACTCCACAACAGAATTTAAATTCAATAAAAACCTGCAATTTACAGTCTAACGATGACTGTGAATCCATTGTTGATTGTCAGAAAAATTGTCAAACCATCTGGTTCACTAATGTCCTTTGGGGAAGGAAACTGCCATCCTTAACAGGTCTGACCTACATGTGACTCCAGACCCACAGCAATGTAGTTGACTCTTAACTGCCCCCTGGGCAATTAGGGATGGGCAATAAATGCTGGCCTAGCCTTATATCCTCTCTGTCTCACACAACACTTGAGGAAGGAGCTGAGCTCTAAAAGCTTGCGTTTTTGAAGAAACCTGTTGGACTATAACCTGGTGTCGTGTGATTTTTGACCGTGCCAACGTAAGATGATCTGGTGGTGTGCTACAGTTCACTCAGGGAGTCAGAGTTGCTTTGGCATTGGGAACTTTTTACATGCATGATGTTGTCTGGAGCTAAGGGCAGTGATGCTAGATAGAAGGTCTTGGTGCAGGCAGTAGTTGACAGCTGCTTTGACACTTTGTGTAAATTATATTGAATCCTGGTCATGGGGTCAGCTATATTCAATGTAATGATTCCTGTTCTTTGAATTTTATGAATTTTATTGACCTAACTGTAGTATAACAAAAGTACAATTAACACCTTTGGGGTCTGCCATTTCTTGCATGTAGCATGTGAATAAGATAATTTGATTTCCGACAAAGGAAGCATGTGTTCCTGAATATACACTTGTTGGCACTTGTAGAATTCTAATTTTGAGGAAGGTACTTAAATAGCCAGTGAGAGGAATGTGGTGTTGATTGCAAAAACAGATGGCACTTAAGAAGACGTATTCTACTAAACAGTCCTTTAAAGCTGCAGTTGTTTTACCATTAAGGGACACAATTATAATTTGTTTAACAGACTGCAATATAAATGTCAAGTAAGAGTAGAACATGTTTGTTAAGTGCACAATCCAGATTGGTGCACATTTTTACCTGGATCAAAGGTGCTGGTTACATCTTATAGCTCACTTCGGGAGTCTGAGTTGCTGTGGCAACATGGACTTGTACCCATGTGTTTAATCTGTATCAATATAAGTGATGGTAGAGGCTCCAGTCTTCTCTTCATCACATGGCTGTCCAAAGGTCTTTCTGGCTCCTACTGTCTGCAATTGGCATGTTTTAGAGGGATTTACAATTTGATCCTGAACCATGTTGAGTACATTATGGGGAGGCAATGGCCTAGTGGTATTATTGCCAGACTATTAATCCAGAAACTCAGCTCATGTTCTGGGGAGCTGGGTTCGAATCCAGACAGTGGAATTTGAATTAAATAATAATCTGGGGTTAAGAATCTACTGATGACCATGAAACCATTTTCGATTGTCAGGAAAACACATCCGGTTCACTAATGTCCTTCGGGGAAGAAAATCTGCCATCCTCACTTCGTCTGACCTACATGTGACTCCAGACCCACAGCAATGTGGTTGACTCTCAAACTGCCCTCTGAAATGGCCTAGCAATCCATTCAGTTCAAATGCAAGTAGGAACGGGCAATAAATGCCAGTCAGCCAGCGATGCCCACATCCCATGAGTGAATAAAGAAAAACATCTACCTTGGCCATTACATTCTGGAATGGGACATGAATTCAGAATGTCCAGCTCAGACACAGGGATGCTATCCTGTGCACCACAAGACCTTGAGAAATGTTCAGGCTGTGCTGGATTTTCATGTATGTTGTCAGCATGGTGAATAATACTCCAAATTGCTGAACGAACTCATCATTAAGTAAGACATTCCACAACAGAAACGCACATCGACATGGATAGTTAGCTTATTGTAATATTTGTTATTTCATCTACAGTTGGGAATGCTAGTGCAGATTTTGGGGAATGATGTTTCTTGAAAGATCTTAACTACATTGATTTTTGGCCTGGTCACTGCATTTGAAATGGGAATGTGGCAAAACGAATGCATACACAGTGGCAAAGAGTTGAGGTGTAGTGGCGGGTGTGTTCTCCATTGTGTCTGACTCGACCAGGAATGCTGCCATTCAGTGTGAAATGGGACAGGTACCTTCATTGTTTGTCATTTATGTTACCGTTTGTAAAATGTTACATTTTAGAAGAAGTTGTACATGACTTTTTGAACTTAGAAGTGACAAGAGACCTTTCGGCCTTATCAGGTCTTGACAAGTTCCTGCTTTTTGCTCGAAGGACGGACATCCGTCGCATCAGCTTTGACACTGAGGACAAGTCTGACGATGTCATTCCACTGGCTGATGTGCGCAGTGCTGTTGCACTTGACTGGGATGCCAAAGGGGAATACATTTATTGGACAGATGTCACTACTGACTCTATCAACAGGGCTAAATGGGATGGAACAAAGCAGGAGGTACGTTCATATAACACAAAAAAGTTAGTGAAACCAGATTAATTTTATGAAAGAAGACATATTGTACTCAGTAATTCTATATTACACCAAACACGTTCATCCTATGAGGTTATATCCTAATAAATTGTAGCTATTTATAATATGATCTTAAGTAAATGCAGTAAGTTAATTGAAGTTGACGAGAAATTAGATTATGGGGAGAAAATGTTCTATTTAATTTTGACTATTATTCAATTAGTTTAAAATTATGCAGAAGATTTAGTTGCTGCTTAACCTTTGACATCAACAACTCCCTACAGTTCACTGATATTATGGGGACTGTATATAAACATGCTTTGATGAAATTAGTTTTAAAGACCAAATATTTTTATGCAGTTAATTTAACAGTAAGGAAGTCTTAAAGGTTGTGTAAATATCAGAGGTCAAGATCTAATGATTGTTAAGTAAGGGATTCACCTGGAGGGCTTTTTTTTTAATCTTAGAAGTTTCATAAAACAAAATGTTGCAGTGAATCATTCTCCATCTGACAATGTCATATATCTTTTATCTTTCAGGCTATCATTGTCACTAGTCTGGAAAGTCCTGCAGGACTGGCTGTTGACTGGGTGACAAACAAGCTTTACTGGACAGATGCAGGTAACCTAGCCAAAATTAAATAATACTCAGCCTATCTGTTATTGCCTGTTCCATATAGCAACACTGAATTTAAATGGACTGAAAGCAAGAACTGTCAGTAATTATTTTGATTTTTGAAGCTTTTTATCATGTTAATCATTGGCGAGAAGCCTGTGAAAGTGGAACTATTATCTGGTAAGGGACTGCTTCAGAGGGTGCACTGGTGTAAGTCATGGTTGTGGGTGGAATTTTACTGAATTAGATATTGTTGTTTTAAACCTGCACTCTATGCCACAGGTCACTCTCAACGCTTGGTAATTAGGGGTTGATGTTCAGTCAGAGATTTATTTGGCTGCAACAGAGTGAATTGAATAAAAAGGGTACTCTGTAACTATGCCAACAATACCTTGCAATGTGGCACAATGGATCAGGGTTCTGATACTTTTCCTCTCAGGCAGTCCCTTGGGATTGAGGGGTGACTCCAGTTTGATGAATTTGACGATTCTGGTCAGCCCAGTGCACAGTTTGCAGATCCTGCCACACACGGGGCAAGTGGTGACTGAAGAGAGTCAGGTTGATGGATTGTTTGGAGGATTCTGAGTTCCCTCCAGGCTACCTGTTTGCGTGTCGCGGACAAAGTTCCTTGATGTGTTTGGTGCCGTACTAGGTGAACCTTCTCCATTTTGCTCGGTCACAAGTCAGATTCCCATGAGTCAGCCTGAATAATGGACCGCTTCTGGGAACATCCTGAGAGCATTCCCCATGTCCCTTTGGAAGTCCCCTGACGCGAGCAATTTCTGAGTGGAACAGCTGCTTTGGGTGGCACTAGACAGTGTACTCATTGTATTAAATGTCTTGAGTTTTACAAGAATTTTGGTTTGTAATCTTTACGCCCTTTTGTTTCAGGTACTGACAGAATTGAGGCCTCAAACTTAGATGGCAGCATGCGCACAGTCCTTATCTGGGAGAACCTGGATAGACCCAGGGATATTGTGGTGGATCCAATTGGAGGGTTTGTTCATTTGACATTGATAAGTAGTGTGACAGTTCAGCTTTGTTATTCCTGAGTGTTAAACACATTCTAAAACATTTAGCTTTGTTACTGGAAAAATTATAAATCTATATTGTATTTATCTAATGATTCTTGTTAAATTGAAGTCAAATTTTGCTGTCAGGTTTTAGCTTTTGACTCAAGCAAACACAGAGAACACTGGAAAATCCCAGCAGGCCTGGCAGCGTCAGTGAAGAGAGAAACACAATTAATATTTTGAGTCTGATATGATTCTTCAGAACAGAATTCACACAGAATTCATATCAGACTCAAAATATTAATTCTGTTTCACTTTCTGCAGAAGCTACCAGATCTGCTGGGTTTCTCTGTTCTTGTTTCAGGTTACCAGCATCTGCAATATTTTGCTTTTATTTTAGCTTTTGGCTGTTTCCTTTGACAGACATTGACATTGATGTGTGAGTTAGATTTTGCCTTTCACTTAGAGAGGGTGGCATAGTGGTAATGACACTAGGTTAGTAATCCAGAGACTCAGGCTACTGCTCTCGGCGCATGGATTCAAATCCTGCCATTTCATTTGATAATTTCGTAATTGAAAGCTAGTCTTGGTTATAGTGACTGTCATGAAAAAGTTATAGTAAGTTCAAAAAGTTAACCCTACTACTCTCTACAGATGCTGCCAAACCTGCTGAGTTTCTCCAACATTCTCTGTGCTCGTTTCAAATTTCCAGCATCTGTAGTATTTTGCTTTTGTATAAATGAAGTTAATTATTGTAAAATCCTGCCTGGTTCACAAATATCCTTTTGCCTGCATATGACACCAGACCCACAGTCACAAGTTAGACTTTTGACTGGAGGGGCAGAGAGGAAAGTGGAGGTAAGGCCACAGTCAGACCACCCATGATCTTACTGACTTGTGGAGCAGGCTTGAGGGGCTGAGTGTCCTACTTTTCCTAATTCTAGTGTTCCTGTTTCCTCTGAAATGACCTGGCAAGCCACTTCGTTCAAGGGCATTTAGGGATGGATGAAAATGCAGACCTTGCAGCAATCCCAGGGGTTTTTTTTAAATGTATCATTGCAGAATTAAAACTAGTTGTTGTTGTTCTATCTTTCTTTTAATGTAGGTACATGTACTGGACAGACTGGGGAGCCAATCCTAAAATAGAACGTGCAGGGCTGGACGCCTCTGAGCGGACAATCATTATCTCCTCCAATCTCACTTGGCCTAATGGCTTAGCGGTGGACTATGAGACTGAGAGGTTGTATTGGGCTGATGCAGGCATGAAGACAATTGAGTACGCCAACCTGAACGGGACTGATAGGAGGGTAGGAGAATATAATTATCAACGGTTTCACTCTGAAGGAGAAGGAATTCAGTCTATATTGGACACCAATTATCCTCTTTAAAGTAAATCGCATTGACACATGAAACAACGGTTTTGTTCATCCATGGCTGGTGCTACAATATTATTTGAGTGTAGTTCCTTATTGAGGAGGGTGAAGATAGGTTAAAAACACAGACCTGCTTCTTGAAGGCAAAGAATAGTCGGATACCATCCGGCTATAGGAGATGGATAGCTTTTTGACATTTCTATTCGGAAATAACAATAAAATGAATAATATATGAACATAATTCAACTGTCTCAAGCTTTATACTTTTCTAATTTCCCTGTAATCCATGTGACACATGCGTAAAGTGGTAATTCTGTTAGCTCTAAACCCACCCCATTTGTTGCCTTTGTCTTCTCTAGGTCCTGATTGGCAGTCAATTACCTCACCCTTTCGGCTTGACTCTACATGAAGATAAGATTTACTGGACCGACTGGCAATCAAAGAGTATTCAGAGTGCAGATAAAAGCAGTGGCCTGGGAAGAGTGGTGCTGCGAGAGAACCTGGAAAATCTAATGGATATTCACATGTTCCATCGCCATCGAACACCAGGTAATGACCAGAAGAGTCAGGAATCCTGAAAAAATGTCCCAATGCAATAGGCACAGTTTAAAGTAAATCATGATTTACTTAACTGCGTTCAATGAACATGTTGTCTACTGCCTTGTGGTGATGATTATAACAGATTTATGTTTCATTTATTTACTTACAGTGGCATCCATGTGTAAAATAGACAATGGTGGCTGCAGTCACCTCTGCCTTCTCGCTCCGTTGCCCAAGGCATACCACTGTGGGTGCCCCACAGGTATAAACCTCCTCGCAGATGGCAAAACCTGTGCACCTGGTAAGCTGCAACTCCTCTTTTGCTCGGCAGCATGGCGGTATTAGAAAGAGGCATTCCAGTCTAGACAAAGGACATTGATTTTCAAATGAGGGTCACTCGAATATTGCTGGAAAAGGTAATGTGCGCCTAGAAACAAGAGTAACTTACTGGTCGTTGGGTGTCGCTTCACAGCAATGTGCTGACATTCAACATTCTCTTTGGAAAAATTCCCATCTGAGTTGCAAGCCGTACTGTATTCAAACGTTATTGGATATTTATTCCTACATTGCATTGCCTTTTTATTCACCAGCTAGGTGGCGTGAGTGGCTAAGTGTGAGACTACTGGTTTTTATTTTCTTTTAGCACAGAATATGGGCTTTTGGAAGCCAGCGTGTGGATGCCCAGTTTTTTATTTGTATTCACTTGTGGGATATGGTTTTCTTTGGCTGGATCGGTATTTATTGCCTGTCTCTAGTTGCCCTTGAGAAAGTGATAGTGAGCTGGCTTCCTGAACTGTTGCAGTCCCCATGTGCAGTAAGCAGACCCACAATCCTGTCATGCATGGAGTTCCAGTGACTTTGACCCAGTGACAGTGAAGGGACGGCGATTATATTTCCAAGTCAGGATGGTAAGTGACTTAGAGGGGAACTTGGAGGTGGTAGTGTTCCATGTATCTGCTGCCCTTGTCCTTCTAGATGGTAGAGGTTGCAGGTTTGGATGTTATCCAGATTAGACTCCTGAGAAAGCTAGGAGACAGCAGAATCTTGAAGCATAGCATTGCGTCTTCACTGAGGTAGATTAGTGACTGAAAAGACTGTTTAATAGTTGAGGAATTTCTTATCACCTGACTTTGTGCTCTTTTAAAAATTTCCTTTCTTTTTTGTATCAGGTATGACCAGTTTCCTCATATTTGCACGGAGAACAGATATCCGGATGGTGTCTCTTGATATTCCTTACTTTGCCGACGTGGTGGTGCCTGTCAATAGATCAATGAAAAATACAATTGCGATTGGCGTTGATCCTAAAGAAGGTGATTTTCTTCTATTCCTTCGAGGAATACAGGTGTTGCTGGCAAGACCAATATTTGTTGCCCATCCCTAATTATTGCCTTTGAGCTGAGTAGCTTGCTGAGCCACATTAGAGGGCAGTTAAGAGTCAATCACATTGCTGTGGGTCTGGAGTCACATGTAGGTTAGACCAGGTGGAGAGGACAGATTCCCTTCCTTGAAGGACAGTAGTGAATTCGATGGGGTTTAATTCATTAAACGGTTTTGCATTGACATTGCTTGAGAAGTAAGTGAATGAGGCTAACCTCAGATATTCATTGCTTTTCCATCACCAATTATTAGCTAATAATGTATTTTATTTTGTTGCTAAGACTAAAGGGCATAGGTTGTTGGCCATTAGCTATGCCGTGCCATTCAGTAAGATTGTCTACCTCAGTATCACCTTACACACTGCCTCCATATCCCTGGGTTCCCTTCAGTTATAAACATTTATTGATCTGTAGTTTGAATATACAAACTAATACAAGCAGAGACACAGAAAGAAACTTGTGGTCAAATTCATACCTTTATTGTAACAGACTTATTTAAGTCCAGGATTTCTTGTTATTTTTTCACCGAAGACATCAATGAAATCAAGACTTCTCACTTTGAATAAAGCTACATAAATCTGTCCATGAGTAAAAGACTGAGCAATATAAATACAAATTCTGTCAAAAATCTGTTTTTTTGCATCATGATCCCAGTCATAGAATGTGATGGTCTAATTTTGAGCTGTTTTGTCTGAGTTGAAAAGGCTGGTAAGTTTGCATATGACAAGTTCATTAGTGTTTTGAGGAAGAGGTATTCTATTTTCTTGAAATCCGCCTGTTGTAATTTCAGTATCTATTACTAATGAAAACAACTTCTTAACTACCGTTCTTGTTTCATCACTAAGTCCCTGTTTAGGATTTCTGTTTTGTAACTGTGCTTTCCTTGAGTCTAAGTTTGTGCAGAGGTTAGACTCTGTAGTACCTCTCAAGGTTCTGTTGTTATGATATTTATCCACAGAATTAATACACTTATACATTCTTTTTAGTTCACATGTCATAGCATTCAAATGTAGTGAAATTTCATTTTTCGAAAGCATATTTCAATGAAGGATTTTGGATCATTTTGCCACACAACGATTCTATCTTCTCATCCAGTCTTTCTATGCCGTCCTTGTACATTCCAATCCATCCTCATCCCACTCTTGCATCCTCCCCCCCCTCTTTTTTCTTATTAATCCCATGGGGTGCCTCAGGCAAACACTTTACAGCGAGGGGATCTGTGTTTTTGAGGTCCCTTTACCTTCACTTTTTCTTTTCAATCAACCAATCCCCCACAACCCTGCCGCTGTTGTCCCCAGTGTTGTCTTCCCACTGGCACTGCTGAGCAATGACAGCTGTCAGCCAGTCAGAGGCTGGAAGCTTCTCAGTGGGTTGTCCCCCAGGCCCCCAACAACAACAGATATGGCCTCAAAACCAACTATCCAAAGCAATTTGGGCATACAAAATACTTTTATTGCTATAGATTAAATGGAAAGGCCTCTGCATTTGACACTAATTTAGCATGGATAGAATCAGTCTAACATTAATTAATTCAGGATTTTACCATTTATACAATTTATTCAGTAATTTAGTCTGTAATCAAAGGTGGAATGTGGTAACGTTATCCACTTTTCACTGTACCTAGGCACAAGTGACAATATATCAAAGACACGTACAAAGAAATCTACAATTTATATTGAAGTACTTGGGAATCTCAGATTTGTACCACTGCAAGTTCAAGATTGAATCTTCAAAACAGTTTCAAAATGTAATTAAGACAGGAACACAACTGTTTGGTCATTTGTCTCTATGTCTGATTTCACCCCCATTTGTATGGGTAAGTTTGGGGTAATCTCGCAGTGTCTGACCTCGTGTGAGTCGAGTGCACAGGAAGAAACAAGCGGGTCATTGAATCGTTCAGAAATTAACCCTTTCACCCAGCAGAACTGAAGAAGTGTCTTCTTACTTTAGGGAAGGTGTATTGGTCAGACAGCACGCTGAATAAAATCAGCAGAGCCAATCTGAATGGATCCCAACAGGAAGACATTGTAACAACAGGTGAGGGGTCAGTGCCAGTCTGCATATCTTGTGTTATTCTGTAAAACAGTGGCGTTCCATAGCTGGACAAATGGTTAGAATTTAATGTCCTCCCCCATGGCAGGTTTGGTGTGGGGAGGATGTTGGGTGAGGCCCCACCATCTTCCCCATCAGCCCAAGATTAAGTCCATGGTAGAAGACCAATGGATAGTATTTCTGCCCCATTGCCAATTCAACCAGCAGCACACAAAGGACAGCTGATAAGTAAACTCTGGAGTTCTCCGGCTAATTGAAGGACTCTACATTGTGAAAGGATGGCAGTGGATGTTGTCTGCTGAGAGCTGTCTCCCCTCCCCTTGCTGCTGACCCACCTCTGACCTACTCCTCCTGTGGGACACTGGCCTCAAAATCCCCCCTGCTACTGCTATTCACTTGTAACCCGAATCTATCGATGGTGCTGAGGCAAAATACCGGTAGCAGCCACTACCTTCCTAATGGCATAGCTGAGCAATGACAGCTCTCAGATTCTCGGTGGGGAGGTGTAGGACCTCCCTCTGGGTCCTTCATCCGCAAGTAGGTCTTTCACTGTGCTGCCCTAGCCTTGATTGGCACATAATTTGCCAGTTGCTTCAGAAAAGACGCAGTATGGGTTTTGCAGCTGGTTGGTGAGATCACTGTTGTCTCCATCAAAGATCTTTCCAAAACTCTTCGGCAGCTGCACTAAATGCATGGTTTATTGGTTGCCAATTTTTTTCAGTAATAATAGGTCAATTGTGTCTTGACATATGTAAATAATCTGGCATACAAGTCCTCCTGTGCCATATTTCAGTTTCAACAAACCATTCAGCCAGGAGATCACCTAAATGGCACCAGATTAATTTGCATTTGTTGGAAGCAAAGTATAGTAGCTTGTTTTCGTTAACACAAAATAAAGTTGCTACTGGAAGTGAGTGTACGATAAGTAATTCCACAATAAGACATTGTTAGAACAGTATATTGTATCATTGGTGTTTTCTCTTCACAGGGTTAATGACGACCGATGGACTGGCTGTGGATACCATAGGCCGTAAAATATACTGGACAGATACGGGGACAAACCGCATTGAAGTTGCTTATTTGGACGGAACAATGAGGAAAGTTCTGATCTGGCAGAATTTGGACAGTCCAAGAGCCATTGCTCTTCATCATGAGAAAGGGTGAGTAGGCAGCTCATAATAGCCTGCCAATGGGCTGTGCTGATGAATGATAAGATCACAACAGTAAAAATAATGAGTTTATGTATAAAACATAAATGTACAATAAATAATTTAGCCCTAAAAATAAGGCAGAGTGTGAAAATGCAATTACTAAGTTGCAAGTGCTTTTCTTTATATTGCACTAAGTATTTAGTGCAAGGCAGCATGGTGGCTCAGTGCTTAGCACTGCTGCCTCATAGCACCAGGGACCCAGGTTTGATTCCACCGCTGGGTGACTGTCTGTGTGGAGTTTGCACATTCTCCCTGTGTCTGCATGGGTTTCCTCCGGGTGCTCTGGTTTCCTCCCACAGTCCAAGGATGTGCATGCTAGGTGGATTGGTTATGCTAAATTGCCCGTAGTGTTCAGGGATGTGGTGCTTAGGTAGACTATAGGGGGATGGATCAGTGTGGACTTGTTTGGGCTGAAGGGCCTGTTTCCGTACTGTAGGGATTCTATGATTTTGTGTTGGGTCACATTCTTAAAGTTGAAGAGTGTGAAGAGATATTTAAGTCCTATAAATGCTGTTCGTTGCATGTTGCTTGACTCAGGAGTCAGTTTGCCTTAGCTGTGCGTGCTCTTGCATCTTGGGCAGAAGGTGCAAACTGTAATCCAGTGTCAAGCACATAGTCTGCTGGCACTGCAGTGTTGTAATGGGGGAGGTGGGGGCGGGGGGGCTTCATTGTCATGGATAATAGCCCCTTTAGTTCAGGCTTATAATGGAATCCCTGGCTGTTTATTTGGGTGAGTTTGAAGAGGAGGAAGAAATTATCTTGAATCACTTTGCATGGAATTTATAGAACAGAGTTCTTCCAGTGCCCTGGCAAATATTCATCCCACAACTCACATATGAAAACCAGATTAACTGTTCAGTCACCTCATCTACTCTGTGAGATGCTTTTGTGAGCAAATAGATTGCCACATTTGCCTCAAGAAAGAAATGACAGACTGACATTTAGTAGCATTTTTCACAGCCTGAGGATGCTCAAACATGCTTTACAACCCCAATGAAGGGTAGTCACTGCTGTAACGTAGGGAAATACTGCAACCAGCAAAGTCCTTCCAACAAATGATGAAAGAAAAATCAAATATTTTGTTGTATTGTTATTGACTGAAAGATAAAGAATTGCCAGGACACCAGGAGAGCACCTTCTTTTTAAAATTTTGAATACTACAAAGGAAAATTTTACATCTGCTTGAAGTGTCATCTTCTTTGGAAAACAACACCCTGACAGTGCAGCACTGCTGACATATTGCACTTGGCTATCAAGGCCTAACACTTGAAACTCTACCCTTTGATTCAGAGCAATGAGTGTCACTGCTGAACTGAGGATAATAACAATACCTGCCAATTAAAAAAAAACAAAATTAATTAATTGTCTGTGAAATATGTCCTGTGGATGAGAAAGATGCTATACAAATCCAATTTCTTCTTAATGTTTTCTTCTGCTATTTTAATACAATGTATTAAACTGCATTCAACTACTGTTGTTGCAATGTTAAAATGGTTGTAAATCTGTTTGTTTTAAGAATACATATCACACCATTTCTTAATAGTTATCTGTGTTACTGCTAACCAATAGATAAATTCTTGAACATTTGTTCATTTATGAAGGGATTGTTATTTAATGTTTGACAATAATGATCCAGATTATCTTGAGACCTTTCTATTGTACATTGTTAGGTTCATGTACTGGACAGATTGGGGGGAGCATGCCAAATTGGAGCGTGCTGCAATGGATGGATCAGACAGAATGGTTCTTATCAATAGTAACCTGGGATGGCCGAATGGTTTAGTCATTGACAAAGAGGGTTCCCGACTCCTGTGGGCAGATGCACATACTGAGGTACGTACATTGGTTCTGAGCCAGAATCAGTACAGCAAATAATTGAAATAAAATCTATAACATGAAATGATAGTCATTGCTATTTTCATTATTTTCCCAAAGTGTATTTAAATGGATATTTGTCATCATCAGGAATTTCTTGTCTTCCAAAATGATTATTTTCATTGCCTCCTTGAGATATCAAATAATATCTTATCTCTACAAGGACACTGTGCTTTTCTCAATAGTTTTAATCCTCATTTGACATTAAACATAATTTTAAATGTCATTTTTGGTGTGCTTTGTTTAGTTGTGCTCGGTTTTACTTTTCTAAAGAATTTTGAAAAGATGAAACCTGGTGTAGTTCACTGCAATGTCTTTTCCGCACAGCGTATTGAGGCAGCAGACCTGAATGGTGTGAACCGTCGTACTCTGGTCACACCTGTTCAGCACCCTTATGGCCTGACTCTGCTTGATTCTCACATTTACTGGACAGACTGGCAAACGCGAAGCATCCAGCGAGCAGACAAGAACACAGGCAGTGACATAATTACAGTGCGCGGCAACTTGCCCGGGCTCATGGACATTCAAGCTATTGACCGAACTCGACCTGTCGGTATGTTCCATTCCATTGTCAGCATGTTCCATCCCATTGTCGGCTTGTTCCATTCCATTGTCGGTATGTTCCATTCCATTGTCGGTATGTTCCATTCCATTGTCAGCATGTTCCATCCCATTGTCGGTATGTTCCATTCCATTGTCGGTATGTTCCATTCCATTGTCGGTATGTTCCAT